AAAAAAAAAAAAAAAAAAAAAATAAATAAAATAAAATAAAATAAAAAATAAATAAGACATTGCAGATATAGTTGAAGGCCACCCCTTATCTCTCTGGCCCTCCCCCACTCCCCAGATGCAGTCATAATAGAAGAATTTGTTCCTGATTCGTCCTGATTTGTAGCATATATGTATGTGTGTAAACAACCTTTAGTGTGACTTTACGTGTTTTCCAGTTCATGTAAAAGAAATCTTATGTATGTTGATTTTTAACTTAAATGTTAAATGTTGATTTTTAACTTACTTTCAAAATGTATCCATCTGGGGACATATAGATCAAATACATTCCTTTGAATGTATATTAATGCATCTCCTTATATGACTGTGTTGAAATGTATCCAGGGTAGATAAACATTCAAACTGTTTCTAGATTGTTACTATCACAAATCATGCTGCAGTGGACTTTCTTGTAAATGTCACTTGCACATAACAGGTAAAATGGAAGGATTTAGTCACAGGGCATGTGCAGATTTACTTGTTGTTTTCAAATCATTATTCAAAGTAGTTGTACTAACTCACACCCTTACACAGAATGAGAAAAACTGGTTTCCTACATTCTTGCCCACAGTTGGCAAGCCGTTTCAGACTCCTTCCCCTCACCAGTCCATTGGGTGAGAATTTGTACATATGTATTTTTAAATGTACATTTCCTGACTGCCAGCACAACTGAGTTACCTTTGAAGTGTCTATTGGTCAACTGGGCTTACTATTCTGTGACATGCCTGTTAACATTTTTTGCTCATTTTTCTATAGGGTGTTTACTTTTTTAACTTAGAAGTATGTATTTTTAAAATATATTCTGAATACCAATCTTTTTGTCAGTTATGGTTGCAAATATATCCTTCTGGTTTCTGACTTTAAAAAAAAACTTCATGCTTTTTTTTCTTACATATAATTTTAAAAATGTTAATATGTTCAAAATCCTCAATTTTCCCTTCATTATCTCTGTGTTTTTTTTTTGTTTAAACTTAGTATAGGAAGTTTTTCTCTCTCCTGAGGTAATAAAGGGATTTTATATTTTCTTTTAAATGTTTTGAAGATTTGCTTCTTGCATTTCTGTCTTTAATCCATCAGAAATATGTGTGTATAATGAATGTGATATTTAAAAATATACATATTTGTCTATGTATCTTTAAAGCATTCTTCTTATTTACATATTTATTTTGAGTTGGAGTCTCTCTTTGTCGCCCAGACTGGAGTGCAACGGCCGCTCCCGGCTACCACAGCCTCGACCTGCTGGGCTCCGGCAATCCTTCCGCCTCAGCCTTCCAAGTAGCTGGAACCACAGGCGCATGCTACCATGCCCGGCTAATTTTTGATTTTATTGTAGAGATGAGGTCTCGCCAAGTTGCCCAGGTGGGTCTCGAAACCCCGGGCTCGGGCATTTCATTCACCTCAGCCTCCCAAGGCGCGGGATTACAGGTTGAGCCACCGAGCCCGGCTAATTTTTATTTTTAATACACCTGGGTTAAACTCTACTTACCATGAGTTATTTAAAATATTCTGATTTGGGATTCTTAATATTTACTTAGCATTTGTCCTGTTAGGTTCAAAAGTGGGTTTGCTTGTAATTTTCTGTTCTCTTTAACTAGTTTTAGTATACAGGTTAGACTAGCAACATAAAATGAGGTAAGGGGTGGGGCTTTGTCTCTCTTTCCAATCAGTGGAATAGTTTATGCTGATTAGAAATTATTTGTTCCTTGAAGGTTAGCTACTGTACATCTCTCTTGTAAAATACTCCAGACACACTGCTTTAAAAACAGGTAGACATTTTACTACTGATTAAATTTCCTTTTCTTTTTGCAATGTTTGGTAATTTACATTGACCTAGAGACTTGCCTGTTTTATACTTATTTTCAAATTTGTTGCATATATTATTCATAGTAGTATCTTATAATTTTTGTTTGTTTGAGTTGGGGTCTCACTGTGTTGCCCAGGTTGGGCAGTGGCACAATCACAACTCACCGCAACCTTAACCTACTGGGCGATCTTCCTGAGTCAGTCCCCTGAGTATTTGGGACTACAGGCATGTGCCACCACACTTGGCTAAGTTTTTTTTAATTTAATTTTTGTAGAGACAAAGTCTTGCTGTGTTGCCCAGATTAGCCTTGAACTCCTAGACTCAATCAATCCTCCCACCTTGGTCTCCCAAAGTGCTAGGATTACAGGTGTGGACCACCAGGCCTGGTCAATATCTTATAATTTTTTATCTTTTTCATATTTTAATAGTCAGTATGTTTGTATGATCCAAAATAAAAAAAGTTGTGAAAATTTTTCTTCCTTCCCATAAAAAACTACGGTCAGTTTATTTTGTATCTTTTCCAAGATGTTTAATACATACACAAATAAGTACAAATATGTTTTCTTGTATTGTTATTTTTTTACACAGATGGTGGCATACTAGACATAATCTTTTCTACATCACTTTTTTCACCTAATGAAACATATTGAGAATTTTTTCCACATCAAATCCACACGTGTCCTAACTCACTTTATACTTACATAGTAATTCTTAGTTTCACAATTTCTAAAATCAATTCTTCATTATGAAAATTATTATACACGCTTTTGCTGTTGAAACATGCTATCATCTGTCACCTTTACACAGGCTTTCATGTTTACATGAGTTTGTTTTTAGGATATATCCCCAAAGGTGGAAATTCTGGGTCCACTGGAACATGTGATTCTAATTTTAATAGGAATGACAAGGTCCTTGGCAGTTGTGTCTGTGATGTGCCTACCTGACACGTAAGTGAGTGTGTTTTCTCACAAGTTTCCCTGCCAGCACTGAAAATGAAACTTCTGGGTTTTTGTTCTCTGACACCTCATCTCAGTGTGAATTTAATTCACATTTCTCCTATTCTGGGAATGCTAAGCATTTTTAAAAGATATTAAATTTGTATGTTTGTATTTCTTTGGGAACCATCTGTTCATATCTTTTTATCGTTTCTATCAGGTTTTTGATGCTTTTCTCAGAAACTGTAGGACTTAGGAGGTTATACTGAGAAATGAGCCTTTTGATAGTTGTGGTGATATTTTTTCCAGTTTTTCAATTATCTTATAGTGTTTTGGAATGAAGAGTGTTTGAATTTTACATGTATTTCCTTCTCCATTCCCAGGTTATGAAAAGTTTCCTTTTTTTTTTATTACTTTGGTGGTTTTATTTTATATGTTGACATCTTTGATCCATTTGCAATTTTTCCTAATGTATGGATTCAACTTTATTCTTTTCCAGATGGTTACCAAATGTCCACTTTCTTGCACTTGTTAGAGCTGCCACTTTCATCATCATAAAAGAAATTCCTATTCTCTGCTATCTGTGGACAATCTGCTTGGTTCTACTGACCGGCTGTCCACGCATTTGTGCTACTGCACTGTTTAAAATGTAAGGCTGCCAGGTGTGGTGGCTTATGCCTGTAATCCCAGCACTTTGGGAGACAGAGGCGAGAGGATTGCCTGAGTCCAGGGGTTTGAGACCAGCTTGGGCAACTTGGCAAGATATTGACTCTAGAATAAATCAGAAAATAAAAAAAAAATTAGCTGGATGTGATGGTGCACGACTGTTGTTCCAGCTACTTGGAAGGCTGAGGGGAAGGATCACCTGAGTCCAGCAGGTCGAGGATGCAGTGACCATGAGTGTGCCACTGCACTTCAGCGCCTGGGCAACAGCATGAGACCCTGACTCAAAAAAAAAAGTAAAGCTTTCTCCATTGTGACTAGCTTTACCTCATCAGTCTTCTTTTCCAGAAATATTCTGGGTGAACATATTTTTCTGTCCATACAAATTTCAAATCACCTTGTCTCATTTAAAAAAAATCCTGTTGGTTGCATTAAATGTACAGTAGAGTTTAGAGACCCATTTGTTTTAGGACTCATTATTGATCATTCATACAGAAGAAAATTAAAATTAGATTCATACCTTTGGCAAAAATAGTTTATCTTAAGATATTTTATCATTTGTGTTTCCATCATACATGCGTATATCTTCTTTTTTTTTATTTAGGGAAGCTTTTTGTTTCTGTGAATTAATTTCATACCTGATAATTCTGGTGACCTCTCATGTCTTACATGGCAGTTTTTCAGTGGATTCTCTTGGGTTTCAGATACATAATCAGTAGCAAACAGTGATGATTCCAAATCCTCTTTTATCATTTGAATATGGTACTTTAAATTTTTGCCTGTCAGTAATTGGATTGACTGGTATCTTCAGAACAGAATTATAATGCCGGCACTGACAGTGGGCTTTTTTTACCCCCGATTTTATTTTGTTTTTTATTTTTTTAATTAATTATTTTTTTTTTTTGAGTTGGAGTCTCACTGTCGCCCAGTGAGACTGTCCTGGCCACCGCAGCCTCGACCCGCTGGGCTCCGGCGATCCTTCCGCCTCAGCCTTCCAAGTAGCTGGAACTACAGGCGCACGCTACCACGCCCGGCTAATTTTTTTGATTTATTGTAGAGATGAGGTCTCGCCTGCCCTGGCAGGTCTCGAACCCGCGGGCTCAGGCAATCCACTCACCTCAGCCTCCCAAAGGCGCGGGATTACTGGCTGAGCCATACCCCCTGATTTTAGTTGGAATGATTTCCATATAAAATGTGATACAGGCTTGAGATGAAAGTAAACAAGACTATTATGCTAACAGCAGTCTAAATAAGACAGTTTAAAAGTAAATAAGACTCGTTTTAAGGAAGTAAATATGTTCCTATTTTATCAATAATTTAAAAAAATTGATATTAGATATGGAAATTTGTCAAGTGCCTTTTCAATATTTCTAGAGATGGTCATATGATTTTCTTCTCAGATCTATTAATATGATGAGTTCTATTAATAAATCCTTAATAATGACTTGCTCCCACATTCCTGCATGTATTCCCTCTTGGCTGGTTTGACATTTTATTTAGAATTTTTACACTGATATGAGTGAGAATGGGCAGTAGCTTGCTCTTGTGCACAGTCTTGGCTGTGTGGTTGGTTTTGATGTTCAGCTCACTTTACAAACACAAATTTAGAAGTTTTTCTTCTTATCATGTGCTTTGGAATAATTTAATTTATATGCCATTCTTTTCTTTAAGTTTTAGCATATCACAACGTGTGACTACAGTGCTGTTTGCTTTAGTTCTTAAAAACCTTATCCATTTGTCTATTCAATAGATCTATTAAGATTTTTAATTCGTCTGGATTCAATTTTGATAAATTTTATGTTTTGCTAGTTTATTATCCACTTAATTCAAGTTTTCAATTTATAAAGTCAATGAAATTCTTTATTTTTTATCTGGATCTTTGATTATTTTCTCCTTGTGACTTATTATTTTTGAATTTCACTATTATTTAGTGATTAGGTAAATTAGCAGTTTATCTATTGCTTTTCCCTAAATAATAAGATTTTGAACTAAATTACTATTTCTATCTAAAAATTTAAAAAATTCATTGTTTTCTATCTTGTCTCTATTAATTTCTTTCTTCTACTTTACGTGGGTTTATTTTACAGTTTTTAGCCTCACTTCTTGAGTTGGATACTCTGATTTTTATTCCATTTGTTTATTGATATGAGTCATAAGACCACTCATTTTTTAATTTATTTCTGAGTACAGCTTAAACTGAATAGCAGAGGCTCTAATATGTGATGCTTCCTTATTATTTTGTAGATAATTCTCACCTTTATTGGAATTATTTGAGCTATGTGAAAGAGAATTTAAAAATTTCCAGGTGGTTGGGGCTTTTGACTTTTGGGTTTGTTTTTCACTCCTGGTTTTATTGCTTTGTGGTCAGGAAATGTTGTTTATCCTCTTTCTGCTTTGAATCTAAGATCACTACATATGCAATTTTATTAGATGCATGTTATACACATGACAAATGTAGATATCCTGCACACAACTTTACATCCTTGCCTTTTACATCTTGTATCTCCTGTGCCTGCACTGCAACCTTTGCACACTGTAGGAATCCAGTAAAAACCAGGTTTTATTGTTTCAAATGGCCATAAGAGATTCTCTGGCTAAAACAATTTGACCAGGGCATGAGGCTCATATCTTGGTGACCATCTGGAAGTAGGAGGAGACCCTGCTTAACGTATTGAGCTCACCTTGAGGTCAGGCCAGCCACTTGGGGTGTGCCATTCTCAAGCACTTCATGAGTGTCAGCTTTCATGGATTTGACCAGATTCTGAGATTTCTTTTTCCCTCTACCTAAGCAAAAACACACTCAGTCAATATTCAACAAACAAAATAGCTCAACATTCAAGATTAAAGCAACTCACAGCTTTCCTAGAGTCTTCCAGAAAACACCAGCAGGGATCCAACGTGTGACCTTACTTTGGGCATAGGATGTTCTTCTCACCCTTCTCTCTTTCTCTTCTGCCCTGCTACTACAGCAGCTAAGGTCTCCTTTTCTTACTCCCCAAATCTGTGCTCTCTCCATCCTTTCATGAACGCTGACCTCTCTCCTCACTCCTGCTTTTCCAGATGTTTCTCCTGCCACATTTTTTGCCCTTCTTCTGCCATCCTGTCAGTCTGTCTCAGACTTCTATTCATCAGCTATTTTTATCTGTTGTCCTGATCAGTATAACAAAATTAACTAAGTAAGTTTCAATGTCATCAAAGAACTTTTCTTAGAAAAATCAGGAGCAATATTTTTGAATACTCACACATTATAAAGTCATGTCCCAATTACATTTATTTTATAGACATGACTTCTAGATCTATGAGGGAGATAAAATTGTGTGTACTTGTAAAAATGATCACATTCTTTATAGAAATAATATAATAATAAGTCACTTATAGTGAGTCAGTATCACATTGGTTTTCATTCCTGAGAGGTAGGTTTGTCTTTCTTTCCAAAAAGGAATAAACTTGTGGAATACACAAATTGTTTTGCAGGCTAAAGAAGGTGCATTTATTGTCAGAGATTCAAGACATTTGGGATCCTACACAATTTCTGTATTTATAAGAGCTAGAAGGTAAGCACTGGTGATTTTGGTCATGTTAGAGAGAACCCAGTGGCAGTCTTTTTTTATGGAGATATGTGACAGGGAAGATATACAAGGTGACAAAAAATGTCTACATATTTTAAATATGACATTCGTGCAAAAGGTGGTGTTGATCAAATGAATGCTGGAGTCACCATGAGACAGGTAAGACAGTCAGAAAATGGCGGAAGCATGGTTGAGTGAATGTCATACTACACATTGCTACCGTAATTCGATTCAACTTGGAAAAGAAATGCATAGATAGAGCTAGGCTCGGTGGCTCAGCCTGTAATCTCACACCTTTGGGAGGCTGAGGTGAGTGGATCGCCTGAGCCTGCGGGTTCGAGACCCACCTGGGCAACTTGGCGAGATCTCATCTCTACAATAAATCAAAAAATTAGCTGGGTGTGGTAGTGCGCTCCTGTAATTCCGGCTACTTGGAAGGCTGAGATGGAAGGATCGCAGGAGCCCAGCAGGTCGAGACTCCAACTCAAACAACAAAACAAAACAAAACAACAAAAAAAGAAATGCATAGATAACCTCTCTCTCTCTCTCTCTCTCTCTCTCTCTCCTCTCTCTCTCTCTCTCTATCTCAGGAGTTAGAGTCTCACTCTGTTGCCCAGACTGCAGTGGCACGCTCACAGCCACCACAGCCTCGGCCCACTGGGTTTAGACAATCCTTCTACCTCAGCCTTCCACATAGCTAGAATCACATGTGCATGTCCTCACACCCAGCTAATTTTTTGATTTATTGTAGAGATAAGTCTCGTCAAGTTGCCCAGGCTAGTCTCCAACCCCTGGACTTAGACAATCCTCTTGCCTCTGCTTCTCAAAGTGCTGGGATTACAGGTGTGAACCACTGCACCCGGTCCAGAGAACATCTCTTAAAACGTGTAGACTTTTTTTGGCAAACCCCTGTGTAAGTGAGAGCCTAGCTTAGGGAAAAGATGACTGGCCTGGAAGTTAGAAAAACAAACTGGTCCACACCGTGTCCCTAACAAGTTCTGTGTGATGTCAGAGGAATTGATGAACTTCTCTTGTCTCTCTTTTCTCAACCATCAAAAATGGGAGGTAGATTCATTGTAGTGGACACAATTGGGCTTGCCCCATGTCCCTTGGTCTGTCCTGGGACTGACCTGCAGAGGGGTTCCCTGCCCTCAGAAAGCTCCCGGTGTCTTCTGGCTGAGGATGCTTCTGGCTGTGGGAAGTCATGGGTCCCATGCTAGGTTGGAGGCTCCCAAGAGGTGACATTCCAGGAGCAGCCCTGCCTTAGGGAGAATGCAAGTTGGTGGGTGGACACCACCGATTCTCTACATTCCAATGGGACAGTGGTGAGGTGTGTCCCCCATAAAAGACTGAGCCCTGGTTGTCTGAAACAACAGACTGCTCACAAGGGCAGTCTTGGTCCCCTTGGTACCCCCTCTTCTGTGGTACCATCTCCAATCCCTCATGGTGCATATATTCATTCACTCAACTGACACCGAATATCCCATATACACGTGTACATGCCCTACATGAGCTCTACTGGTTTGGACGCTGGACATGTCCCTTGGACAACTTTGGCTGAAGTTAAGTCTGAATCTGAACCTCAATAATTTAGTTGAGAAATCGTCCTGAGATGGTGATATAACTGTTGAATTTAGCCAGTCTGCTCTTCAGGGTGATGTTGCTAGGATGAGGTCATTTATTTATGTCAGGGTCTTTCTCCGTTGCCCAGGCTGGAGTGTATGATCACAGCTCACTGCTGCCTCAACTTCCCAGGTCACACGATCCTTCCACCTCAGCCTCCTGAGTAGCTAGAAGTGCGGGCACGTGCCACCACACCCTGCTATTTTGTTTTTTTTTGTAGAGACAAGGTCTTGCTATGTTGTCCAGCAATCCTCTCACCCCGTCCTCCCAAAGTGCTGGGATGACAGGCATGAGCCACCATGCCTGGCCAGGATGAGTTTTAGAACTGGATTCCTGTTGCTGAATGAGTTCTCTTAGTCCAAAGTGATCTTCTGTGTTTCTACTAATTCACGTTTTATTGATCGCAGAAGTACAGAGGCGACCATCAAACATTATCAGATAAAAAGGACCGACTCAGGACAATGGTACGTGGCTGAGAGACATCTCTTTCAATCCATCCCCGAGCTGATCTGGTATCACCAGCACAATGCGGCAGGTAAGTTGGGACTTCATAGGGGACTTCAAGCTGGGCACGCTGGGGAGCCAGGCCCGGGAGGCCAACACCTCTCTGCTGTCAGACACTCAGTGCAGAAAGGGCTTAAGAGCTTGAAACACAGCCTGCCATTATCCTCATTGTTGATGCCTCTTGGTCTTTCTAGTCAGGGGGCAAAAGGTAGGTCAATTCTTTACAATTCTGCCAGGTAAGAAGAATGACAGATGAGAGAAAGGCAAATGGCCAGTGAGTCATCATGTATTTGCTCTGGAAATTCGTATAGAGCTAAATGTAGTAGGATTTCAAATACCTAGATAATAATGCTTCCTTCTCTTTGCCCCCATAAATCAGATCTCTGCTTCAGATACTTGCAATAAACAATTACCCTCAAGTTTCTCATTCTCTCTTTCCTGTTTGTAGGACAGAAAAGATTACACAGAACACAGCTTTTCACAGTCATAATTTGGTCTAATATGCCAGGGGCGTGTTTAACCTGCTTCTCCAGTCATTGTTTGTAATAATTGCTACTTGTGCAAACCTATCAACTGTGGAAAGATGTGGGATTCTGGAAGGTTGCATCACCATTGCAGTCACATTTCTGGCTTCCAGTCCTCGCTCAGCTTGTGCCTGACCCCGCTGGGCCCACAGCGGGATCTTACCTTAGCGTTACTGAACTTGGAACTCACTGCAACTTCTCATATCGTTTGACTTCCTGTCATGCTGTGCTCTTAAAGATTTCTCTCAGAAAAAGTCAAGTGGACAAAACATCCTTTTGGAAAAAGGCCTATTTCCCATTACCCTCGTTCCAAATATCAGGAATACATCCAAGGAGATATTATTCACTTATGGGATGATTCCATTGGGATGTTCCAGGTTGTCCCTAGAAGTCTGATTTTAGAGAGAGAGGTAGAGTGTCTGGGTGGGGTTGGGGAGGTCATAGCTGTTGGTGCAGACAGAAATAGAGACCAGTTCTGCATTTTCTCCCTCTTCTTTCTCCTTCCATTGGAGAAAAAAAAAATTGAAGAGAGAGTGGTGAGGGTGATGAAGTCCAAAAAGTAAGGAGGTAAGTCAGGAATTGCCTACAGGAAAAGATGGTAGTGATAAGTGATAAGTGATAAGACCAGTTCTGCATTTTCTCCCTCTTCTTTCTCCTTCCTTTGGAGAAAAAAAAAATTGAAGAGAGAGTGGTGAGGGTGATGAAGTCCAAAAAGTAAGGAGGTAAGTCAGGAATTGCCTACAGGAAAAGATGGTAGTGATAAGTTGTTACGTTAAAAAGAAAAAAAAAAAAAGGCCAGGCATGGTGGCTCACCTCTGTAATCCCCGTACTTTAGGAGGTCAAGATAGGAGGATCGCTTCAGCCTAGGAGTTCAAGACTAGCTTGGGCAACATAGAAAGACCTTGTCACTACAAAAATTAAAAAAATTAGCCAGTGTGGTGGCACACGCTTGTAACTTGAGTCCAAGAAGTCAAGGCTATTGTGAGCCATGATCGTACCATGTACTCCAACCTGGGTGACAAGTGAGATCCTGACTTAAAAAAAAAAAAAAAAACAAGAAAAAAAGTGCAGAGCAGTATATTAAGAATATAGCCCCACTGTTGTGAAAAAAAAAAATTGCCAAGTGTGATGTCTCATGCCTGTAATCTCAGCACTTTGGGAGGCTTAGGCGGGAGGGTCACTTGAACCCAGGAGCTGGAGACTAGCATGGGTAACATAGACCTCATCACTAAAATAAATAAATAATAAACAAGCAAATAAATAAATGAAATTTTAAAAACATAATTAGTTGGACATGGTGGCATGCACCCATAGTCCCAGCTACTCAGCAGGCCAAGGAAGGAAGATTGCCTGAGCCCAGGAGGTCAAAGTTGTGGTGAGCCATGACTGTGTCACTGCACTCCAGCCTGGGCAAGCAAGTGAGACCCCAACTGAAAGAGAGAGAGAGAGAGAGAGAGACAGAGAGAGAGACTGTGAACTGGAACTCATGACTGTCCTGTCTACTTTCTGATCTCTGGTCAATGTAGCTCATGACAAACCATCTCTTTACCAGAAGTGGGGACACCTGCAAAGAGAGTGACAGGCATCTTTCTGCAGAGACCAACACCAACATTTGGTAATAATTCCCAGGTTGAAATGTTTGGCGAAGATAAACTTTGAAGTCAGAGGACGGCATCAGGGTCTTAAGGAAATTCCCTTACGTGTTATTTGGACCAGTGTGGCAGCGACTTGACTAGCTGGGGCTGTCCCTTGGCAGGTCTTCTGAGTCAGGGAAATGTCCTTTCCTGTTCTCTGTCTGGAGTCTTCCCATCTCCTCAAGACCCCTCTGCAAAACTCACCCCCCCCAGCAAATCTCCTGTCCGTCTACTTTGTGGGGACGATGGAAGCCCCAGCGTGAGTCCCCCAGCCCTTCTTGCCCCCTGCCCTTCCCTTACTTCCCCCAGCAGGAGGGGTCTTGCCTGTCGTCACTGCTCCCTTCTCCCCGGTGGCATCCCTTCCATTTCTTCTGACCCCTCCATCCAGCCCTTTCGGTGTCACTCTCTTAGTCACACTGTGAAAATGAGTCCACACCCAATGCCTCCACCTTCTCACTGTCCAATTGCCTTTAAACATCCACAATCCAACCTCTGCTTCCACCGCCTTGTGTGGACCAGTGACTCCCCAGGGGACATGCATGGTGATGCGTTCTGGTCCTCAACTATTTAGAGCTCTCTGTTGCATTGGGCGGTGTCACTCCTAGGATGTCCCTGCTTCCTTGATGGTTTACACCACCCACTCCTGGAGCTTTACAGCTCAGATCATTCCTGGTGGGTCTTCCTAATGCGTCCTACTTCTGTTCCCTTAAGCAATGGTGTTCTGAGAGGATTCACCCTGGCCACTTCTCAAGCTGGCCATCTCCTGCTGCAAAATTCTTCAGGGGACACAGGTGCTCGCAATCCCACCAGCCCTGAACTTGATGACATAGTTGAATGCTCCATCTGACACCATCACGCCCTGTTCATGTCTCCTCTTCCTGTAGTCTGTCTTGTAACATGGTGCCATCATCCAGTCCACTGGCCTGGAACCATGGGAGTTCAACAGACGCTTTTCTTCTTAAAACTGAACTTATAAGTTTCCAGGTGCAATTAATGTCATATCCTAAACGTGTCTCCCATTGAACCCTGCCTACCGGTGCTGCCCTGACCGTTGTTCACCTGGATGATGACAATGGCCTCTTGACTGCTCTCAATTTCTCCAATGTTGATGTCCCCTCGTCCCACCTCTAGGCTGGCACCAGAGCGATCTATCAAAAACATAGTCTGACTGTGCCCTCCTGCTAGGGACCCTCCACTGGCTCCCTCTGGCTTGCAGGGAGATGTCGTGCTTCCTGGCATGGCTCACAAGGCCCCCAAGCCCAAGCATGATGCACCTCTCCTGCGTCCCATCTTGCTTCTCCTGCCTCCATTTTGTGTTCAGGGACCTGCCATCAAGCTTCAGACATCTGTGTTTCATTGCACGCTGGTACCCCTGCCTGGAATGTCCTTTAAGGCTTCTCCTTGTGGGTTAGCTGTGTTTTTTGGATTCGTCTCAGGTGTCATTTCCTCCCAGGAAACTTCTCTGATCCCAACCATGTGTTGAGTGCTCTCCCTCTGTGTCCCAGGGCGCCATAGGGGAGTCTCCAGCAACCGCTGTTTCCTTTGACGTCAGAAGGGCCTCTCTCTGCCTGTCCCCTCCCTGACACACAGTTCCCACAGGTAGGGTCCTCATTTTGCTCATCTTTGGAGCTGCTGGGCTCCTTGGGATCTTCCTAGAAGACTGTCTTGCACACAATAGGCACTGAATACATGTATGCTTCTTTCTGTTCCTACACTGGTCAAGCTTGTTTCTATCCTCCAGCCTTTGCATATACTGTTCCATCTGCCTGGAAGGCCCTTCCTCCCAGTCTTTGGGAGCTGGTTCCAATCAACATCAGCATGGCCACTGTCTTGTCAGAAAGGCCTTCTCTGAGCCCCACTCTGAAGTCACTGTAGTGTACCGGCCTTGCACTCATCACCATCTGCTTTTTCTTGTGTGTGTACTTACTTATTTTCTAAATAAACATGACATATTCTAAGTGTGTCTCCCAACAAGCCCTGCCTACCACCGGTGCTGCCCTGACCATTGTTCACCTGGATGATGCCAATGACCTCTTGACTGGTCTCATTGTCCCCAGTGTTGACGTCCCTTCAGCCCCCCTGCAGTGGCTTTGCAGTCTGGTTCACTGCTGTCTCCTGTCTCTAGATAGTACTGGGCACATACCTGGTGCTCAGTAAACATCAGTTGAAGAAATAAATAATACATCTGCTTACTGACCTGAACTGAAGCAGAGGATTCTATATGCTCAGACGAGATCTCATGTACTCTACAATGGTGTCTCGGTTCATTTTCTGTTGCATAGAACAAAATATAAGAACTGGGAAAAAAAAGATATTTGCTTTTTACTTACAGTATTAGTGGCTGAAGAGTCCAAGACAGAGAGGCCGTATCTGGCGAGGATCTGCTCCCTGGTGGGGACTCTGCAAAGTCCTGGGGCCGTGCAGGGCACCCTGTGACGAGAGGGTACAGCATGCTCTGGGAGCTCTTCCTCTCTTATGTTTACGTTCATTCATTCATTCATTTTTTTGAGTTGGAGTCTCACTCTTCATCCAGTTGGAGTGCAGTGGCATGCTCATGGTCACCTCAGCCTTGACCTGCTGGGCTCAAGGGTTCCTCCCACCTCAGCTTCCCAAGTAGCTGGGACTACAGGCATGTGCCATCATGCCTGGCCAGTTTCTTTAATTTTTTGTGGAGATGAGATCTTGCTATGTTGCCCAGGCTGGTCTCAAACTCCTGGGCTCAAGCGATCCTCCCACCTTGCCCTCCCAAAGTGCTGAGATTACAGGCGTGAGCCATCACACCTGACCTGGGGAGTTAAATTTCATTGAGTTTTGGAGGGCACATTTACTCCATAGCATAGATGTAAAAACAAAAACAAAAACAAAAACAACCAAAACCCAAAAAACTCTACTCTCAAAGGGTAGAGTTGGGAAAATGAGTACACTTAAATACTGTCAGCAGTCGGATGTATTAGGACAGCCTTTCTGGACATTCTTAGACCTGGAACTCACATTTTATAAGATGACAATTTGAGAAATACATATAACAGAGAAATCTTGGAAATAGCTTTAAGTTGTATGTATAGTCTTTGATATATATCAATTACCCACTCACAGCAAAAAGCTTGTAACAAAGTATATTTCTATAAAACATTGTAAGGGAAGATGCTTTCAGTTATGTAAATAGAGGTTTTTGACTGGGCACAGTGACTTACGCCTAGAATTCCAGCATTTTGGGAGGCAGAAGAGGATAATTGCTTGAACCCAGGAGTTTGAGACAAGCTTGGGCAACATAGAAAGAAAGACCTCATCTCTACACAGAAAGAAAGAAAGAAAGAAAGGAAGGAAGGAAGGAAAGAAAGAAAGAGAAGGAAAGGAAGAAAGAAAGAAAGAGAGAAAGAAAGAGAGAAAGAAAGAAAAATTAGCCAGGTGTGGTGGCATGCTCTTGTAGACCCAGCTACTTGGGAGGTTGAGGTGGGAGGATTGCTTGAGCCCAGGAGGTTGAGGCTGCAGTAGGCCCTGATAGAGCCACTGCTCTCCAGTCTGGGCAACAGTGTGAGACCCAGACTCAAAAACCAACAACAACAAAAACTAATACAGAGGTTTTTGCAGTAATGTTTACCAAGATGATAACAATGTGTCTGTGGAGACCTTTTGATCCTTCTTTATACTTCTTAGATTCTTTAAATGTGTGTAATGAGTAGATATCATTTTTATGAAAAGTTGTTTTCTAAGTGGGAAAAATAAGCAAACAGACTAACCTGTAGAATAAATGTTTCTGTCTAACTATTTAAAGAATGGCACCATCTTCTATGTCTAGTTCTTTCTTCCTTGTTAGCAACTGGGCTTGACTCGCTGATTTCGCCTTCTCCTCAGGCCTCCTGACCCGTCTCCGCTACCCAGTCGGGCTGATGGGCAGCTGCGTGCCGGCCACAGCGGGTTTCACCTATGGTAAAGTATGCACATATGCCCACGTCCAGTACCAACCCGATCAAGTCTCTCTTCCAAGGTCCCTGGAGACTCTGGTCTCAGCGCTTCTGGAATGTCTGTCTAGAAACGTTTCTTCTCAAAGCTTAAATCCCGAGAGAAGTATATGCATCTCACTAAGGATTTTAAACTTTGGGAGGGAGGAATGTTGGTATTCTCCTTCAGATTTTACTGTATGTTAGCAGGAGCCTTAATCTTTCCTGTCTTGAGAAGTTATAATTCTTCTTATTTGGATGTTTGAACTGTGGTTCTCTGGTGGTTGGGAAATGGCTGCACCCAAGAGAACCTATTAGATAGAGCTGCTGACGGCACCCTCTTCACCTTGTTTCAAATAGAATTTGCACAAAGTTGGACTTGAACGTCTTCCTAGCAAATGTGGTATTTGCAAATCTTGTGAGAATATGCAAGTTCCAGGGAATCCTGTTTCTAATTTGGTCACATTGTATTCCCTCAAATTTCTCTCATTAGTGGGACTCAGAACATACTTTAAAAAAAAGGCAACACTGTTAATCATATTGAGAAACAAGTGACTGGAATTCAGGGTCAGATTAGGTTAAGAGGATGGAAGGGTGATTACAGACTGTTATTGATGCCTGGATTATTCTTCTGCCCTGCAGATACTATATAATAAAAAGTTTCACCATTAGCAGTTGATTAAGTTAAACATGGTCCTTTTTAATGTCTTAAAAACAAGCTTAAAAAATATTTTTGAGTTGGGGTCTTACTTGCCTAGAATAGAGTGCAGTGGCATGATCATGGCTCACCATAACCTCTACCTCCTGGGCTCAGGAAATCCTTCTGCCTCAGCCTCCTGAGTAACTGGGACTATAAGCGCATGCCACCATGCCCTGCTAATTTTTTATTTTATTTTTTGTAGAGACTAGGTCTCACTATGCTGTCCAGGCTGGTCTTGAACTCCAGGACTCAAGCAGTCCTCCTACCTTGGCCTACCAAAGTGCTGGAATTACAGACATACTAGGTGTATGTTAAAGGTTACATAAGAGGATATATATTCATGACCTTGAGATTGGCATCGATTTATTCAACAGAATATAACCATAAAGGAAAATATTGATGAATTCCACTTCAGAAAACTTTGTTCACCAAAGTACCCCAGTAAGAGAGTAAAAAATTAAGCCACAGATTGGGAGAAGATGTTTCTAACACACATAACCAATAAGAAATTCCTATTTGAAATATAAATAAGTCAATTAGAAGATGCACACAACTCAACTTTTTAAGGATAAAAAAGTTGAATGAAGTATTCTCTCATTAAAGAGAATATTCAAATGGCCATGAAGCCAAGTTGTATAAAAATAATTGGTCATCAGCAAAATGTAAATTTAGATCATAGTGAAATGCCACTATGCACTCATCAGATTGGTTAAAATAAAAAAACAAAAAAAGAACTGAAATACTACATATCGGCCGGGGCAAAGGCATGGAGTGACCGGAGCTCTTTCCCGTTGTTGATGGGTATGTGATTTGGTGCAGGCTCTTTGGAAGACTGGCCATATCTGCTAAATCCGGGGACATCCATACCCTCTGACCTGGTGGCATCTGCCCATAATTTGTTGGGGCATAAGTGTGCATTTCACTTCATCAAAAGACACACATAATGTTCCTAATAGTATCATGTGTAAGAGCCAAAAATCAGTAATGACCCAAATGACCACCTGAAGAAGCATGGGTCAACCAGTCGTGGGATAGCCTTGCAATGCAGCCCTATGTAGCCACGGTAAAAATAAACTGACCACAAACAACACCGCGGACGACATTCACAGATGAATGAGGGGAGGAAGGAGTCAGACACAAAAGAACGTCCAGTGTCCAATTTCATTGATATAAAGAAGTCAAAACCAGGCAGAACTGAGCAAGTATGGACTTAGACATTATGCACTGTTCTGCATATTTAAACAAATTGTGGCCAGGTGCAGTGGCTCATGCCTGTAATCCCAGCATGTTGGGAAGCTGAGGAGAGAGGATTGCTTGAGCCCAGGAGTTCGAGACAAGCCTGGGCAACATGATAAGACCTCATCTCTACCAAAAAATTAAAAATGAACTGGGCGAGGTGGCACGTGTCTATAGTCCCAGCTATGTGGGAGGCTGAGGTAGAAGGATCACCTGAGCCCAGGAGGTTGAGGTTGTGGTAAGCCATGATCATGGTACTGTGCACAAGCCTGGCAACAGAGTAAGACCCCAAATGAAAAAAAAAATTGGGGAGGCTGAAGCAGGAGGATCACTTCAGCCCAGGAGTACAAAGCTGTGCTGAGCCGTGATTGTGTCACTGTACTCTGGCACCTGGGTGACAGAGTGAGACCCCAACTCCAATCAGTCAATCAGTAACCCACCATGGGGTCAGGCATACTTTGCACAGTTGTACAAGGGGTATCAGTTTCTAAATGCTAAATTCTTTTAAATGCATTCATCAGTTCCAGCAGGTGGCAGTATTGCTATGTAAAAAGGACACGCTAAAATATCAAGACTATAGTTTTCAAGAGGGTTATTTTACGGTTAATTTTCCCCCCTGATTTGCTGCTATAGAATAAGAACTATACAGCAACACGTTTCACTTCAAGTATACTCCTGGTTACATGGGGAATAGAATCCTGACATCAAGTGTGTTTATTAGATGAATTAACTTGACTTTTCTCTAAGGAGAGGAGGCGACAAGCAAGAAAAACCCTTTGGGGCGAAGTGAGAGAAACCTCGGGAAGCACTGAAATGGGATAACAGGCATCACAAGTTGTGTTAGCCTTACACGTTTACAAACCAGAACAAAAATGGTCGGGAGACGAATATTTTAGATCCCAGGCCTCGTTTTGACAGGGTTAGTTCAGAAAGGCCCAGAAATGTGTTTCCTCTTGGGACTCTAGGCGAAGAAAGACTGTGTTTTGATATCTACCATTTGTTGAACATTCCTCTCTAAGTGAGTGAAATTTGCATTTGGAAACCTGGATGCTTGATTTTCTTACTAATTCAAGCCACAATGAGAGTATTAAAAATGGCTCTGCATCCTCTCCACTCATTTATACATTTTTTTTTGAGTCAGAGTCTCAATCCATCACCCAGGCTGGAGTGTAGTGGCACACTCACAACCAACCCAGCATTGACCCACTGGGTTCCAGCAGCCATTCCATCTCAGCCATTCAAGTAGCTGGAACTACAGGTGTGTACTACCATGCCTAGCTAATTTTTTTGATTTATTGTAGAGACAAGGTCTTGCCAAGTTGCCTGGGCTGGTCTGGAACCCATGGGCTCAGGTAATCTACTCGCCTTGGCCTCCTAAAGTGCTGGGATTATAGACTGAGCCACTGAGCCTGGCCTATTTATACAATTTTTAAACCTCTTTGTAAATTTGAGGGGAGAACCAAAAAAAACCAAAACAAAACCCCAGAATTATCTTTTGGAGGGCAGGCCCCTTGTAGGTACAGGCTTCCCCAGCTGGGTGAGTGTTCTTGGAACCCATTGACATCAGAGTACCAGCTAGCATTGTCGTGAGAGGCTGCATTTGGCTTCAGTGAAATTTTTTGAGCATGGCAAATTAATGACTGGTTCTTCCACTATGACAATGCACCTGCCCATGTGAAGCTGAATGTTCAGCAGTTTTTGACCAAAAAGAGCATGACTCCCATGCCTCATTCTCCCTAGTTACCTGATCTCACCCCGAGAGACTTTTTTTGTTTCTCTGATGAAAAAAGTCCTCAAAGGGAAACATTTTGCCCATGTGGAAGAGGGAAAACAAAAAATGGCAGAAACACTAAAAGACATCAAAATGCACAAGTTCAAAAATGGTTTTGAGCCATGGGAAAAGCATCTCGATAGGTGTATTGCATCAAACAGAAAACACTTTGGAGGTGCCTAAAGTTTAAACATGTAAGAATCAATGTACAATTTCTAATAAATCAATTCCGGTGTTTTGAGTCCCCTTATAAGGGTCTAGATGATTCTTACATCTCTCTTAACTCTACAGTTTTAACATCTTTCCCCTTGTGACATGGATGTTTTATTTTTCCAGAAAAGTGGGAGATCGACCCCTCTGAGCTGGCGTTTGTAGAGGAGATTGGAAGTGGCCAGTTTGGGGTGGTCCATTTGGGTACGTGGCGAGCCCACATCCGGGTGGCCATCAAGGCCATCAGTGAAGGCGCCATGTCTGAAGAGGATTTCATTGAAGAGGCTAAGGTGATGATGTGAGTACGAATGACACCCAGATGAATATCGCATGGTATCCAGGCATCACGGAAGGAACGTGAGATTTGGGGCAGCCACACCTGGATATGTGACACAGCCTTGCCCACACTGGGTGTGTAACCCAGGTACACAATTTGACCTCTGTGTGACTTGGGGGAGCTATTTCACGTCTCCAAGCCTTGATGTCCTCATCTGTGATGTGGGTATTGTAATTCCTACCTTACTTAATCAATGTGTTAATCGAATGAGATAATCTATGAAAGTGACATGTGTATTCTTTTCAGCTGAATAATAGGTTCTTTACAAGTGTGCACACCCTAGCTTTCTCACTCTCATTCTCTTCCTCTCTTTCTTTTTCCCAGAAGCAGAAATGTTGGTTTTGTCTTGGTAGTGATACCTATTTGTCTTTTGAAATGGTATCTCCCAGTGGCCAAAAAGAGTTAATGTTTCTGTAAGGAAAAAGTGCTTTTCAGACCCCGAGTTTAAAAGTAAGTGGCTATTTGTAGACCTTTAGGCACTGCTCAACTTCCGTGACTTCCTGGGACAGCGTCTTGACTCAGTTGAACCATGACTGTGGTTCACAACTGTTACCTGGACTGGACCAGGACAACTAGTACTTTGGCATGTTCAAATCAAAAACATTTTTTAAGCGTTTGGTTAGCATTTCTCTCAGAGGTAGCAGTGCAGGAGGAAGGAAAGCCCAGGTGGCATTACTCATTTGGCTCTGCTGTCCAGAGCAAGCTAGTTCTGTTCAAAGCTTGCAGACCCCAATTGGAGAAACCAACACCAACCAGGTGTGACTAACTGGACCCATCTCCTTTGAAGGTGGGGCAGTGACGTCTCTTGGGGCTCTCACCCCCTACTCCAAATGTTCTGTCGAAATATTCTTTCCATCCACTTGGGCTAGAATGAATTCTGGGGGGTGTCATGATAAACACCATTTCCCAGTGGCAGCAGCTTCTGCATGGCGCTTTTGTGTACCCCATTTCACACATGAAGAAACTAAGGCCCATTAAGTGGTTTCTGGTCCTGAGACCAAGGGGAGCCCGAGCAGCACGTGATCTAAGCTCATCAGATCAAGAACACCGGCTGTTCTTTGAAGTATTGAGGTACCGCATTGCCCTTGCAGAACCATCATTCTTGTCGCTGAGTGACAGGTTCGTGTTTCTCAAAGTTGCTCATCAGCAGGGCATTGAAGGAAGATATGGGAACTAATCAGTTATAATCATAAAAACTTACACCCTAACCCTAAATTAAATGATCCTTCCGCAGGTGGAGGTGGAAGCAGAGGTGAAAGGATTGCCTGAGCTCAGGGGTTTAAGACCAGCCTGAGAAACAGGGTGATATCTTGTCTCTGCAATAAACAAACAAACCCTTACATAAGTGCCTTCAATTTCTCCAAGAATGAGTGAAAATGAGTATCTCTTTTTATTCATGACGTCTGCCTCATCATGTCTTCAGAGTAAAATAATTTAGTTTTGTTTACTTATTATTTTAGGGTTTTTTTGGGCTTCTCATCATTCAACTTGATATTTTAGTTTTTGACAGAAAAACTTTATCACTTTATATGCCCATTTCACAGAATTGAACAAAGCAAAAACTGAAAACACCCCTTGTCCTTCCTGCTACTTTCACCCTCAAGTGTTTTTCTTTGGGGCAATTAATTAATAATAATGGTTTTTAGCTGGACTCTTAGACCCTATTATTTAAATAAAATAATTTTTATTATTTAAGTTAAATACTTGTTATTAATAATATCATGATAAATTAAGAGTTATTTAAAAATTGGAACATGTGGAAAATAAAGGAAGAAAATTTAGCCACTATCTCTCCTGGCCCAGTTGGCCACTGTCTTCCAGCTTTTATTCTTTCCATCAGATTTTTAATATATTGTACTGAGCTTTCATTTTTGCCTAAAAAAAAAATTTCAAGAAGATAAATGTGTAGAGCATTATTCAAAGTATAGTAGATCTGGCCAGGTGTGGTGGCTCACACCTGTAATCCCAGCACTTTGGGAAGCCAAGGCAGGAGGATTGTTTGAGCCCAGGAGTTTCAGACCAGCCTGGGCATAGTGAGACCTGTTATTTACAAACATTTAAAAAAATCAAGCAGGCACTTGTAGTTCCAGTTACTCGGAGTGCTGAGGCAGGAAATCGCCTGAGCTCAGGATGTCAAAGTTGTGGTGAGTCATGACGGTTCCACTGCATTCCAGCCTGGGTGACAGAGTGAGACCCCCACCTCAAAAAAACAACAACAGCAACAACAACAACAAAAATTCCAAACGAATAGTAGATCAAGAAAAGAAGAAGGATTCAGGCATGAGAAGAAATGGGAAATTAAAGGAAAATCTACTCTGGATTTGTGAGGGCAAGTTTTGAGCAGCATATCTATTGATTTCAGGATCTAGAAGGTGGAGGTTAGAGCACCACCGTTCAGTGGGCGGGGAGAGACAGACCCTGGCCCTAAAGGCCTGCATCCATGTTAAATCATGCACAAATATGAGTCACACTGCAAACTCTTGCCAAAATACCCATGAGTCATCTCTTGAATTATAAATTATTTACTTCCCAAAGATTCCATAGCATCTCTTGTAGCTTTGTTAAATAAAACACAGTGCCAGTGACACCATTTTGTTTTCTTATATTCATTCAACAAGCATACACTGCTGACTGTATGCCAGGCAGTATCCTAAGCACTGGAAATATGATGATAATAAGACAGGTAAGGTTTCTATCTCCAAGAGCTTGTTTGTGTGTACATTTTGGTGGAGGAATATGGAGAGAACCTGGTCACAAACTAGCAAATATGTGAACAGTATCACTGCAGAGAGAGGTCAGGGCTAAGTCTAGAAAACAGAATGATGTGATCGAGGGACAAGGGGTGGGTGGGGCTCCGTGGGATTGGGTGGTTGAGACAGGTTGGGAGTCTTTGATTTGGCTTATGGATAATGTGGAGAGTGACCATTAGAAGTCAGAAATGGGGAGAGAGTAGGCTGAAAGTGACTACAGTGGTCCAGGTAGAGGATGATGGTGGTGAGCAGAGCGGATGGGCGGAAGAGAATTGTCTGAGTGCAGTGGTTCATGCCTGTAATCCTAGCACTTTGGGAGACCGAGGCAGAGCACTTGAACCAAGAATTCGAGACCAGCCTGGGCAGCATAGCGAGACCTCGTCTTTAGAAAAAATACAAAAATTTGCCAGGTAAGGTGGCACATACCTGTAGCCCCAGCTACTCGGTAGGCTGGGGTGGAAGGATCACCTGAGCCCAGGAGGTCAAGGCTGCAGTGAGCTATGATTACACCACTGCACTCCAGCCTGGGCAACAGAGTGAGATCTTGTCTCAAAAAAAAAAAAAGAATTGTTTCAGGATAGATTTTTGAGATGAAGTTATTAAGATATATGGTGGGCACTGGGAGGAAGCGAGGGAGCCAAGATGGCGCCAGGGCTTTGGTGCACACCAGTAGGCAGAGGATAGCACCATTTACTAAGATGAAAGAAGACTAAGTAGGTTTGGGGGGAACATATTGAGAATTCTCCCTTGCACACATTGGAGTTGAGAGGCCTGCTCTTAGGTAACCTTGTGTGATCAAGCGATCAGGTAAATTATGAGTCTGGTGTTCAGGACAAAGGTCAGGACAGAGGGTATTCAACTGAGAGTGATCACCAGAGATGATATTTGAAATCCTGAAACTTGATGCGATCACTTAGGGAAAGAGAATAATTAGCAAGGGAGAATTGGAGAAACCTGCGGAGGATCCAAAAATATTTAACAGTGATTTAAATGAATATGATATGTTTGCTCTATGACGAATCCCAGATACTTCTTTAAACTGAGAAATACTGTGTGTCGGGAGGTATGAAAGTTACAGCAAGCAGAAAGGCAGTGTTCCCATTTGCTTTGTTCTTTGTTTGTGAGAAATATTTGTCTGTGTTAGACTGAACCACTTCTGAGGGTTTATGTATCTGCGTTGGCCTTATTTCTGATAGGCCATAGCCTTGCTTCGGGTGGATTGATGTCAGTGTCTTGTTAAGCAAACATGGTCAGGTTTCAGTTCTCAAATATGTCCTCGTGGGTATTGATTTGGTGGGTTTCTCATGGCAAATTAATATTCCATTGCAAGACTTGCTTTCCTGCCATCAGTCCACACACAGGTAAACTGCATCCCTGATTGAAAGGACACACTTTGAATTTGAAAAGCAAATCAGGAAAAATAGAGGTTATATGTAGACCCAAATTAAAATCCATTTTAGGGTCTCTGAATGTCTCTCTTCCCCAATAACTGGAGTCTCTTCACAAACTAATTTTGTGGTCATGCATCAATAATCACTGACATAATTTGTTTTAAGGTCAATCATCTTTCCGAGTAATCAGTTTTATTTTACCTGAACACAAGAGGTATCTTTCTGAGGTACTTTTGACTAGAAAAGAATTGGCTCATTATACATCTTCTAAGATTACAAACATCACTTTGAATATTATTTTCCATGATGACTAGTTTGGCATAAAAAGTCTTTAGAGATTGACTGTAATATTCCACAAAAAACCCCAGTACATTTTTGAAGTTTAGATGACTGAAAAGTTCTGGGGATGTTTTACTAGGCAAAATTCAAGGATTATGTGTGTGTGTTTAGTAAATTCACAGCAAAGTTTCATGTTGGTAAGTGTTTTTAGTCTCCAACTTCATCTAAACATGTCCTGTTAAGTGGCTTTATGCTTTAGAATGTCATTTTCCTTTTTATGTGCACTAACCTCTCTTTCCTGCCTCCTGACTGTCCAGGATTCTCCATCTGGACAGCTTAAGGTAGGAAAGGTGGGGAAATTCTGAGCCCTGCGCAAGGGGGAGCAGTGACGAGGGAGTAGAAATCTCACAAAATGAAGTGGGGGAGGGCATGGTCTCACATCTGTCATCCCAGCACTTTGGGAGGCCAAGGCGGGAGGATTGCTTAAGCTTAGGACCTTATCTCTACAAAAAATTAAAAAATTAGCTGGGTGTGGTAGTGTGCACCTGTAGTCCCAGCTATATGGGAGGCTGAGGCAGGAGGCTCACGTGAGCCCAGGAGGTCGAGATCAGCCTGGGCAACACAGTACTACCTCATCTCTACAACAAATACAAGAATTAGCCAGGCATGGTGGTGTGTGGCTGTAGTCTCCGCTACTTCGGATGCCAAGGTGGGAGGATCACGAGGGCCCAAGAGGTTGAGACCAGCCTGGGCAACATAGCATGACCTCATCTCTGCAAAAAATACAAGTTAGCCAGACATGTGTGCGCTTGTAGTCCCAGCTATTTGGGAGGCCGAGGTGGAAGGATCACCTGAGCCCAGGAGGTCGAGGCTGTAGTGAGCCTGTGACTGTGCCATGGTACTCCAGCCTGGGTGACAGAGTGAGACACCTACTTAAAATTTAAAAAAAAGAAACAAAGAGGAGAAAAATAGAACACTGATGAGTAAACAGGGTCATGTGATAGCTGGCATCCACACAAACTTGGGGAGCACTGTGTAGACTGTTCCTCCCACATCCCCAGAGCATAAGCAGAGGAGATGGCACGATTTCCTTATGGTTGGGTTGCTTTTTATCTCACTTTGCTAATGAGAGTGATACGTCAGTGTCAACATTAGCAGCTGTGTTCAAACATGCTAGAAGGTAAAAGTGATTCTGCTCATGGCTCCGTGTGTTTTTCCAACAGGAAACTGTCGCATTCAAGATTGGTGCAGCTGTATGGAGTCTGCACACAGCAGAAGCCCCTCTATATTGTGACGGAGTTCATGGAGCATGGTTGCCTGCTCAACTATCTCCAGGAGAGGAAAGGAATGTTCCAGAAGGAGCTGCTGCTGAGTGTGTGCCAGGACGTCTGTGAAGGGATGGTGTATCTGGAGAGGAGCTGCTATATCCACAGGGATTTGGTGAGTACAAGCAGGCCCACTCACTCTCTTATGAATTGTCATTATGTTCATGTTAGGGTAAACTGAGGAAGGGTGGGCCGGTGATGTGGGAATAAAGCAAAGACTTGCAAAGACAAGGCAAAAGAATTTATTCCACTCAAGAGAGTGGGACTAACACAAAGAGGCAGTGTGACCCGGGGGTGTGAGGAAGGAGGACATGGTGGCTCATGCCTATAATCCCAGCACTTTGGGAGGCCAAGGTGAGAGGATTGCCTAAGCCCTCAGGTTGAAGACCAGCCTGGGCAGCATGGCAAGACTTCTCTACAATAAATCAAAAAATTAGCCAGGAGTGGTGGCATGCTCCTGTGGTTCCAGCTACATGGAAGGCTGAGGCAGAAGGATTGCCTGAGCAATCACCTGGGCCCAGCAGGTGGAGGCTGCAGTGGTCGTGAGCATGCTACTGCACTCCAGCCTAGTTGACAGTGAGACTCTGGCTAAAAAAAAAAAAAAAAAAAAGTTTTAATTAAGGAGATGGGGTTAAGAAAAGTTTCCTGCAGCTGCATTCCTGAGTATTGATAACACTGGTCTTGTGTCCTTGGCATTGTCAGGGCAACCAGTCTTGCAACTCCAGGAGGTGGGCTGGTGGGCAGTCATGGAAGATAAGGTTAGCTGGGTCCTGTATAGCAGGAAAACAAATGCCTAGAATACAAGAGTAATCAGTACAAGACAGACTTAAGAGTCACAGAACAGTGTTCAATAGCCACTTCCAGAAACCTGGCTCTGTCCTTGGCTAATTATTGGGAAAAGGGGAGTGGAACAGACAGCTAGCAAAGCATGACAAAGCTTAAGCGATGTTGAAATGGCTGTTCTTTAGCTAACATGATTCCATTTTGATGTCATCTGTTCAATTCGGAAGGATGTGCCAGTGCCCTTCAAACCTTTGAATGATGGAACCTTTCATTTAAGCTTTAAACATTTTAGTATCTGTGCAATTTGTTGTGAAATGTAACTTTATTTTTTAATTGATCATCGATGCTGTTGCCAAGCTAGATTTTACGCTAGAAATGCCTTGAACTAATTGACTGCCTAACCAATCCACTCACTAAAATGGACTTCCTTCCCCTTCTTCTCTTTCTCTCCCTTCTTCCCTCTCTTCCTTCTTTCTTTCCTTCCACCTTTCTTCCTTTCAACCAGTAATCAATGTTTATTAATAGCCTAGTACATGCCAAGTCCCTTACTAGGTACTGGCAACAGAACAGTGAAAAATAAGTTCCAGTAGTTCCCACCGAGGAGTGAAACTTCCCCCCGTGGGGTTTGGGCCTAACAGAATGGCAAGAGCATTACTGGCATTGTTTAGAAGACTCATACTGCTAACTTACTGTGTTCTGTAATGCTCAGAACATTCCCATAGAAAAACAATGATGGTTATACCCCAAACCAAATGAGAATGGCACCATTTCCTGTGTCGGTCCCTCCCCTTGGGAAATTCCTTCTGTCCCTTCTACATTCATTCATGATATTTGTATGATTTCTTTTACACCCTTCCATGTCTCATTTCTAAATCTGAAATTGAACTCAAATGAGAATTTGAGAATCCTATAAGAAATGCTTGGTACCATCACCTAAATGAAATCCATCAAACGTGACAAGTGACCATTCACCATTCAGGCTGGAATATTCTGGGGAGAAAAAGGAGACTTATTATTATGTCCCCAGCACATCTTGGAAAGTATTCTTATCCTCCCTGCGACTTAGAGTGCTCCTGGCATTATATTATCTACTACTTCATATAGTGGCAAATTGATTACACTTTAAACACATACTAGAATCTATTTTAGTTGACTTAGAGTCTTGGAGATCAAGGCATCCCCTCCTGAAATTTGGTACAGTGATAAGAACACAAGTTGCAGAGCAGTGGTTCTCAAACTTCAAGCTTTGGTGTGCATAAGAATTACTCAGAAGCTTCTAGGAAAATCACAATACCCAGACCAGATCCCAGACCAATAAATCAGAATCTCTGGGGGTGGAACATTTCTTGAAAGTGGCTGGGTGTGGTGGCTCATGCCTATAATCCCAGCACTTTGGGAGGCTGAGGCAGGAGGATTGCTTGAGTCCAGGAGTTCAAGACCAGCTTAGGCAATATAGCAAGACCTGATCTCTACAAAAAATTAAAAAATTAGCTGAGTGTGGTGGCACACACCTGTAGTCACAGCTACTCGGGAGACTGAGGCAGAAGGACCTGAACCCAGAAGGTTGAGGCTGCGGTGAGCTGTGATTGTGCCACTGCATGCCAGTTTGGGTGACAGAGTGAGACCCTCAAGTTAAAAAAAAACCAAAAACATTTCTTGAAATTCCCTTGGTGAGTCCCCTGTGCAGTGGTGGTTGAGAGCCAGACTACCTGGGTTGAAACCTTGCCTCTGTTTCTTACTGGCTGTGTAACTTTGGGCAAACAAGTTAACCAGTAGTGTGGTACTGATGACAGCACTTCCCTTGCATGGGTTGTGGGAGGATCACATGAGTGAATAATTCATGCTGACATGTGGACAGGCTCCGTGGAGCTCACTGTTGCTGTTATAGAGACACATCATTGCTTCTCCTTCTTCATGGCACATTCTAACATCCAGCTCCTGGGAGCCACACGTGGGCTCTTGAGTGGATGATGTGGAGTCAGTTCTAGCACACTGTCCTTGTCCCTTGGGTTTGTCTGGCCTGATAACAGATGGGCAACGCTTTGGCCATTCTGTTTGCTACTGGTGACTCCTCAATGGTCTTCCCACCCTTGGTTTCTCTCTTGAGTGCTCATCGTCTTCTGTGTTCTATTTCCTCTTCCTCCATGCCACTTAAAACATAGGTCAGGTGTGGTGACTCAACTGTAATCCCAGCACTTTGGGAGGCAGAGGTGGGAGGATTGCCTAAGTCCAGAGGTTCGAGACCAGCCTGGGCAACTTGGCAAGACCTCGTCTCTACAATATGTTAAAAAATTAGTTGGGTGCCCGGGCTCGGTGGCTCAGCCTGTAATCCCAGCATTTTGGGAGGCCGAGGTGAGTGGATTGCTTGAGTTCATGGGTTCGAGACCCGCACGGGCAACTTGGTGAGACCTCATCTCTACAATAAATAAAAACTTAGCCAGATGTGGTAGTGCACGCCGTAGTTCTGGCTACTTGGAAGGCTGAGGCGGAAGGATCGCCAGAGCCCATCAGGTTGAGGCTGCAGTGGCCGGGATCATGCCACTGCACTCTAGTCTGGTGACAGAGTGAGACTCCAACTCCAAAAAAAAAAAAAAAAAATTAGTCGGGCATGATGGCGCGCCTGTAGTTCCAGCTACTTGGAAGACTTATTCAGAAGGATCATCTGAGCCAGCAAGTTGAGGCTGCTGTGGCCATGAATGTGCCACTGCACTCCAGCCTGGGCTACAGAGTGAGACTCCAACTCAAGAAAAACAAAGCAAAACAAAGCAAAACAAAGAAACAAACAAAAAATGTATCCATTATCAATGAATCTTGTCCCACCAAGGACTTTCTTGTGGCTTGGCTTTGAGCTCATTGCTGGTACTTGCTGGTGTCTTCCAAACCAGCTCCCTCTGGCTTTCCATTTCCAGTGTTACTAGATTAACTGAACCACAAATTCACTGAAAAGAGAAAAATCTATCAAATCATCATCTACATGAGACTAAATAAACAGATCAGTGATTTTCTTGACTATGTTGCTGAAAATGGGTGGTTTTGACACCAAATGTATTGTGTCTACATCATATAGTGCCATGAACTAGCTCACTGCAGTAATTTTATTTATTTTAAAGATATGGGGTACAATTCAGGATAAGGTATACAAGTGGTCATCACACAGGTGAAGTTTGGGCCTCCCTTTGGTCCCCACTTTGCCCGGTTTGAGAGATCATGTACCCTTATTGATGTTGTGTTCCCCCCTACCCTGGCAGTACCCCATTACTGCCAATCCCTTTCTTATAATAGTATGGTAAATGTTCAGAGTCTTCTTATGAGTGAGAACATATGGTACTCTGTTCTTTGTTTCTGTGATAGATCACTGAGTGTGATCGACTCTAAATCCATTCAGGTTACTGTGAAGTCCATATGTTTGTCCTTTTTTATGACTGAATAATATTCCATTGTGTATATGTACCACATTTTTTTGTAATGCAGTCCTCCTTTTTTTTTTTTTGAGTCAGAGTCTTACTCTGTCACCCAGGTTGGAATGCAGTGGTATGCTCATGGCCACCCCAGCATCGACCTGCTGGGCAGGTCATCTTTCTGCCTCGGTCTTTCGAGTAGCCAGAACTACAAGTGCACGCTACCATGCCCAGCTAATTTTTTGATTTGTTGTAGAGATGAGATCTTGCCAAGTTGCCTAGACTGTTCTCGAACCCATGGGCTCAGGCAATCCTCTCACCTCGGCCTCCCAAAGTGCTGGGATTACAGGCTTGAGCCACCGTGCTTGGCCAAGCATTTTTTTTTGAAGTTGAAGTCTCACTCTGTTGCCCAGGCTGGAATGCAGTGGCATGCTCACAGTCACTGCAGTCTCAATCTGCTGGGCTAGGCGATTCTTCTGCCTCAGCCTTCCAAGTAGCCAGAACTACAGTCACGTGCCACCATGCCCGGCTAATTTTTTGATTTGTTGTAGAGATGAGGTCTTGTCAAGTTGCCCAGGCTGGTCTCGAACCTCTGGGTTCAGGCAATCCACTCACTTAGGCCTCCCAAAGTGCTGGGATATAGGCATAAGCCAGTGTACTCGGCCCTGTAATCTTTCAATAGGCAGGATAGTTGGTTCCATGTTTTTGCTATTGTGAATAGTGCTGCAATAAACATGCATGTGCAAGTATCTTTTTTGTAGAATGATTTGAGTTCCTCTGGGTATATTCCCAGTAGAGGGACTACTGGGTCATATGGAAGGTCAATGTCTAGTTCTTTTAGAAATCGCCACACTGTCACTGCGGTAATTTTAAAAACATGAAACTATCACTGTGTTTATATTGAGAGAAATGCAAGTATTAAAATATAGTTTCTTAATTTTTATTACCTTTTAGAAATCCCAAATAATTATGCCTTATCTGTCATGTATTTTGGGCTTTCTTCCTTATATGGTAAGTTTAAAAAATGCCCCATTTGTGCCAAGATTCATAGTTGATCATCTCTTAGATTGACTTAGTCTTCATGTTTATCAAGGTTACTTCTTGAGAAAGATTAAACATTTTAAAAATTAAAAGTGTTAAAATTTCTTAAAAAAATTTTTTTTTTGAGTTGAATTCTCACTCTATCAACACAGGCTGGAGTGCAGAGGCACAATCATGGCTCACTATAGCCTCGACCTCCTGGGCTCAGGCAATCTTTCCACTTCAGCTTCCCATGTAGCTGGGATTATAGGCACATGCCACTACACCTGGCTATTTTTATTTTTTAAATTTTTTTTGTTTTTTGAGTTGGAGTCTTACTCTGTCACCCAGGCAGGAGGGTAGTGTCACGCTCTGGCTACTGCAGCCTCGACCTGCTGGGCTCAGGTGATCCTTCTGCCTCAGTCTTCCAAGTAGCTGGAACCACTGGCATATGCCACCATGCCCGGCTAATTTTTTGATTTATTACAGAGACAAGGTCTCGCCAAATTGCCCAGGCTAGTCTTGAACCCGTGGACTCAGACAATCCTCTCACCTCAGTCTCCCAAAGTGCTGGGATTATAGGTGTGAGCCACCATGTCCGACAACGCCTGGCTATTTAAAAAAAAAATTTTTTTTTTTGTAGCGACAAGATCTCACTATGTTGCCTAGGCTGGTCTCAAATCCCTAGATTCAAGCAATCCTCCCACTTTGGCCTCCTAGAATGCTGGAATTGCTGGCATGAGCCACTATGCCTGGCCTCAATTTTTAAAATTACTTTGAAGAATCATTAAAGTCTCTCATGTGAGGGAAAATGATTGAATCATATATATCCATTAAAATCACTTGGTTGTCCAAGAGAGGTAATGTAGACTCAAATAAACCAAGGACAGGGAGAGTAGACACTCTTGAAAGAAAAATGTGTATTCAAACTTGGATTCTTTTTTTTTTTCTCCAGGCGGCCAGGAATTGTTTGGTCAGTTCCACATGTGTAGTAAAGATCTCGGACTTTGGAATGACAAGGTACTTGATACATGTAGGCAAGCATCTATGTTTGTTTGTTTACGAATAAGAGGGACGCTTACATATGTCTACCACCATGCTGAGGACGCTGCTGGTCTTTCTGGTTTCTTCTAGGGATGTGTGTGCTTATGTGGCCTGCTGACCCTTCTGAATCTTAGGGCAGGTACCAGTTTTAGCTGCAAGGTGGCTGTTGACTATGGGCTGTCCTGAGTCTCTTTCAGGTCACTATCAACACAACTATGGAGTACCTTAAAATTTAAGAGAGGATTTCTCAGCCCACTCATGGGTGTAAGGTTAAGAGGAAAGATTTTCTGATGTGTGTATATTTCTTTAAAGAAGAAAAAGCAATAACGTTGTCTTCTCAGCTCTCGTTTTTCTGTGTTGCCATCAAACATTCCTGTGATTAAGTGCTGTAGTTGGCTTTGAGTCTACGAGTGTGAAATATCTAACCATATTTTTCGACAATTCAGTAAAGTTTACACTTCGAGGCTCTTTTTCTTTGGGAAGCTAGAAATGGATTCAGGGTTTCTCCCTGGTTTTGCTCAGCATCAGAGTCCAAGTTCTTGTGCCTGGTGGGGCCACGGGATGGGTGGGAGGTGGCTTATCAGGTCCTGTGTTGTCCATGGGCACTGCTATCCTTGCAGCCGTCACGTTTTTCCTTGGCTGGTCCTCCACACAGATGACTACTGACTCTTCTTTCCTCCTTCCCTTCCCTCCTCCCTCCTTCCCTCTCTCCCTTCTTTCCTTCCTTCCTTCCTTCCTTCCTTCCTTCCTTCCTTCCTTCCTTCCTTCCTTCCTTCCTTCCTTCTTTCCTTCCTTCCTTCCTTCCTTCTTTCCTCCTCCTCCTCTTTCTTCTCTTCTTCTTCTTCTTCTCCTTCTTCTTCTTCTTCCTCCTCTTCCTCGTCCTCCTCTTCCTCCTCCTCCTCCTCCTCCTCCTTTTCTCTCTTATTTTCTTTTGAGTCAGGGTCTCACTCTGCCACCCAGGCTGAAGTGCGGTGGCACGATTACGACTCACTGAAGCCTTGGCCTCCTGGGCTCAAGAAATCCTCCATTCCTTCTTCCTCAGCCTCCCAAGTAGCTGGGACTACAGGTGTGTGCCCATGAATAGCTAATTTTTTAAAAAAGTTTTTGTAGAGACGAGGTCTTGCTACGGTACCCAAGCTGGTCACAACTCCTGGGCTTAAGCAATCCTCTTGCCTCGGCCTCCCAAAGTGCTGGGATTATAGGCATAAGCCACTGTGCCTGTCCTTATCTGAATTTCTTCCTGCAGGGTTCCTTCCAAACTGGCACTTTCTATGATTAGAGAACTCTATGGGGCTATTTCAGGTCCCATTTACCCAGGCACATCCACAGTCATGTGTTCTCTGAAGTCTTTCTGCCTTTCCTGGGCTCTCCTGGGTAGGAGCACAGGGGTTGTGCTTTGTTTTTTGATCCTGCCAACCTCATATGGGAGTGGCAGCCTCTCTCTCTGCTGTGTAACTGGGCAGGCCTCCTGGAATATAGGGTGCAGGACCTTGACTGAGTGAGCTACTCAGGTCTGGGGCTCCATCTTTTCCGGTTGATTCTTCCCCGCACTATTCCCCTGGCTCAAGGAATCTTCTAGATGGTGAGGGTGGAGGTGAGATTGCACTCTTGATCACAACTCACTTCTCCAGATATTCTGTTCATAACTCTACCCTTCTTCTTGGAAGAGATTTTAGAAACCCAGAATCTATAGCAAATGGCTTTTCTCTCCTTTGTTTTCTATTATTCACTCTCCCCTTTGTTTTCTATTATTCACTCTTTTCCTAAGTAGAATGAAATCTGACTCCACACTTAAATGAAGTGAGGTGGAGTGTGTTAAAAAAAAAAAGTGACAGTGTGAGGGCGGCTAATAAATAATTCAAGGTTACTCTATTATATACTCAAGAACAACAAGTACAAGTCAGTTGTCTCTTCTCTTCAGAGTCCCACACTTGACCTTCCTGTATAAATACTCAAGAGTGGGGATTCAATTTTTTTTTTTTTGAAGAGATGGCATTTATTTCTGATTTCTTTCCATATAGGGCCATTCAATGCATTGGAGATTTTTCACATCAAAAGTATTATGTTAGCTAGGTGCGATGGCTCATGCCTATAATCCCAGCACTTTGGGAGGCTGAGGCAAGAGGATCACTTGAGCTCAGGCAACATAGCGAGACTTCATCTCTACAAAAAACATAAAAATGTAGCTTGGCACGGTGGTGTGCACCTGTAGTCCCAGCTACTCGGGAGATTGAGGCGGGAGGATCACTTGAGCCCAGGGGGTCGAGGCTGTAGTGAGCTGTGATCATGCCTCTGTACTCTAGCCTAGGTTACAGAGTGAGACCCCAACTCAGAAAAAGTATTATGTTCATATATTTTTATTTCCACCTTCCCTTTCCTATGTCTCACAAAAGAATGCTCATGGAATATGGCATCCACATTTGAGTTATTTTTATTCCACTATAAGAAGAGCAGTCTTTATCTTTTACATCCTTTTTATAACCTTGGTTATTAGAGCATTTAACATACTTGTAGGATTAAGAATTCCTCATGAACTAACACAACCAGTGGGCCATGTTTTGGACTGAAGAATTATTATGATTTTCAAAGATCCAAGTAAAATAAACACAATGGAGACTTGGTTTGGGGAGGAAACACTCTGAGGGGTACTTTTCTACTTGCCTAATAAGAAGAGAAGGTGTTCAGAGCCTTTCCTGGGTAAACTATTTTATCCTTTAGCAACTCGGCGTTAACTAAGGGGATTGGAAGTCAACAGAGCTGGCGTAATTAACATAGTGTACTTGGAATCTGATGACCTCAGGTACGTTTTGGATGATGAATACATTAGTTCTTCGGGAGCCAAGTTTCCCATCAAGTGGTCTCCTCCGGAAGTTTTTCATTTCAACAAATACAGCAGTAAATCCGACGTCTGGTCCTTTGGTGAGTGCGTTTGATGTTCCCTTGATTTAATACACTGGGCAGTGCTTTATTTTTAACATTGATTTCCTAATACAATGTAGCATTTCAAAAAACAAAAACCAAAAAGTTCCCTGTGACTGTGCTTCTCTCTTCTGCGATCTAACCGCATCCAGGCTGTCTTTGGCAACTGGTGTTACGCTTTCTTACATAAGCCTGTTGATCTAGAAAACAACTCAGCCAACTTTTCCACACCAAGGAGGCTTGAAGAAAAAACAATCTTATGGTGTCATTGAGTTTAGCTTGCAATTAATAAGTCTTATTGTCTAGCTACTAAGCAGCTTGACTGTCGTCCAACTGTTCAATTGATAACCTGAACTTCAAACCTGGGTTGAAACAATGGCGCCACCTCCTTTACTTCATTATTGGCAAATGTTGTGGAATTGGGACCCAGGCTTCCTTGGGATCCTTGTCAACTGATATTTATATTGGATAATGTTTTTCATGGAGGAGACACTGTAGATCATGTCTCATGGAGTCTGTTTTTGAGTTGATTTTTCCAAAAAATTGCAATAAATGTGCAAAAATTGATACACTCTCTCTTTTTTTCCTTATTTTATTTTAAGGATGTGGGGTTCAAGTCAGGATTAGGTACATAAGTGGTCTACGGTGCAGGTGAAGTTTGGGCCTCCCGCTGGTCCTCACTTCCCCTGGTTTAGGATCAGGTACCCTTAGTAATATTATGTGCCCACCTCCTTCTCCCATCCCTCCCCTGGCAGTGTCTCGTGACAGCCAATCGCACAAACTGAATACCCCATGTTCCCATTTGTAAGTGGGCCTTGAACTTATGAGTTCTTTTCCACCCAGATCTTTCTGGTTAGCCTTTGGGTTTGGAGAGACACGTGGGACCTCAGAAGGGGCAAGTTTTAATGTCTACAGTAGGGTTAAGCTTGCATCATTGATGTCACTAGCTCCATGGACACGTGACAGTCTCAGCAGGTGACATTTGAATCTCCCTTGGGGACCACATCTTAGATCCCAATGCAGTACTAGTACCTCCCTGAGTGTTTGCAGACCCACTGGGACTCCCTGAGTTTTCCCTGATGGCTCATCTTACTTCCCCACTGGGCAGTGAATTTCTTCGGCATGTGGGCTGGTCTCATTCCTATAAAATCCTCTGGCCCCAGCATAGGTCTGGCCTCTCAACAACACTTAATAAATATTTGTTAGACTAAGTGAATCATTAAATGAAGTCAAACTGGAAGTTCTTGTAGAAGTTTCGCTAGTCAATTAGTCAATCAATCAATCAATGGTGATCGAACACCTAATTATTACAGAGCCCCTGCTAGGTACTCTGGGACTCTACCAGTAGTCTAATCTTTTAGTGGAAAGAGGAGGACACAAGACCCCTCCTGGCTCGGAAGCCCTTGGCTATAGCAGGCAGGAGAGGGTCACACAATTCTGTCATTTTCTGTGGCATGGCAGAAAGGTTCATTGATTTCAGGGTGTGGGGATATGAGATGGTACTTAGAAATGAAAAAACTGGCCTGGTGTGGTCCAAGGTGGGAGGATTGCTTGAACCCAGGTGTTCAAGATCAGCCTGGGCAATACAGCGAGACCCTGTCTCTACAGCACTTGGGAGGCTGAGGCAACTCAGGTGCCCATGGGTGGCTTTCTGCATGCAGTTGCTCTCATTCTGGGTGATTATAACTCAAAGGTTGGAGGACAAAAATAATACTTTGTGGTTTGAAATTGTTCTTTCAGTTCCCAAGTGACCATTTCTCTCTAACCCCTTTGTTTTTGTGCATTTTATTTGTAGGAGTTTTAATGTGGGAGGTTTTTACTGAAGGAAAAATGCCTTTTGAAAATAAGTCAAATTTGCACGTCGTGGAGACCATTTCTAAAGGCTTTAGGCTGTATCGCCCTCGGCTGGCCCCGATGTCCATTTACGAAGTCATGTACAGCTGCTGGCACGAGGTGGGTGTCCCTGACCTTCCTGCAAAGGCTGTAGTCCCAGTGTCTGAGAGCAGACTGAGGATCACAGATATCACCCAGGACTCCATCATAGTAGGAAAAGCTCCCTGTGTCTTGGACATGATTCCAAGAGCCTGAAGTAGCGGTTCAATCTGAAACTCCCACTACAAAGTCATTCACCCATTTTGTTTTACACAATAGCCATTATATACAGGAGGTGCCCAAAAGAGTATATACATTTTAAGAGATGCTATCTCATATTACTTTTCAAAGTGGAATTGAATCACGATAGCAATGTGTAGTATGATGTTCACATGATCATGCTTCCACTATTTTCTTTGACTGTCCTGCCTGTCACATGGTGACACCAGCATTCATTTGATGAATGCCCTCTTTTGAGTGAACGTCATACTTAAAATGTATATACATTTTTTTGGCACTCCCCTGTATATAAATATATGATCTGAAAGTATAGTCTTAAGACTATAGCTGGCTGGGCGCAGTGGCTCACATCTGTAATCCTAGCACTTTGGGGTGCCAAGGCAAGAGGATTGCCTGAGCCCAGAGGTTTGAGACCAGCCTGGGCAACTTGGCGAGACCTTGTCTCCACAATAAGTCAAAAAATTAGCTGGGTGTGGTGGCATGTGCCTGTGGTTCCAGCTACTTGGAAGGCTGAGGCAGAAGGATGGCTTGAGCCCAGCAGGTCAAGGCTGCAGTGGCCGTGAGTGTGTCACTGCACTCCATCCTGGGTGACAATGAGACTCTGATTCCAAAAATAAAAAAGAAAAGAAAGAAAGAAAAAAGACTATAACTATATCTATAATCCCTGAAATTATATTTCTATAGCTGGTAGCTAGAGAAGTTTCTCTGAACATGAACAATGACATTTTATTGGAGGAACTCAGTGAATTTTCCAAGTCTTATCTTAGATTGGTTCTTGATGATACTGAATCTCTTGATGATACTGAAGCCTCAGTGACTAGATGTTTCATTATCTTTAAGAACCAGTGGGGCTGAGTATAGTGGCTCATGCTTATAATCTCGGTACTTTTGGAGGCCGAGGTGGGAGAGTTGTTTGAGCCCAGGAGTTTGATAACAGTCTGGGCAACATGGCAAGATCTCATTGCTACAATTATAAACTAAGGAAAAAAAAATTAGCCTGGCGTGGTGGTACACAGGGTCAGGCTGTGGTGAGCCATGATCATGCCACTGCACTCTAGCCTGGGTGACAGAATGACACTGACTAAAAAAAAAGACCCCAAAACAATAACAAAAAAAAAAAACCAAAAAACAGTGGCTGGAGATCAAGGACAGAACCAGGTATGTGAAGCTTCCACATTGAGGAGGAGAGGGTGTTTCTACCTACATTACTTTCACTTGCCTGGCCCTGTGATGGCTTCCTTTCTCTTCCACACTCAAAACTCCTGCTGGAGAGATTAACCCCAAATGAGAATGGAGGCAGAAAGGGTGCCAGGAACTTCCACTCAGGAAATGAACTCCCCAGACTTGGCTTTTCCTTTAGTGAAAATGCCATGCTTAAAAATAAAGCCAGAGGACTTTCTGTCACACCTCCATCTTTCCTGGGCCACTGACCCAACATGCTCTTGACCCAACACACCCTTGACTTTCTTATCAGACTCGCCCTGTGATTGTGAGAGTGTCACTCCCTTTCCAGTGGACAGTTTCAGCCCAGAAAAATCACAGCTTGATGTGGAGTGTTCCTCCTGGCTGAGAAAAGAAATAACTTCTGAGCCAATCCACAAACACTGGTGAATCCAAGATTTTAAGAGCAACCTGGTTGTTCACATTCCAGAGAAGCATTAGATTTATAAAGATTCTCAGTGTATGAAAATTTTTTACATATGATTAACTGCTCTACAAGGAATCTGGAAAGACACAGACAAATGTTAAGGAAGATGTTAGTGGGAACCGGCTGTCTTAGTGGCATCTTTGCCATAACCGTGAAGGTAGCTCAGAAGTGTATATTGTATATGAAACAACACAAATGCACAAGTACATGTAATATACTGCTTATTGGCCGGGTGCGGTGGCTCATGCCTGTAATACTAGCATTTAGGGAGGCCGAGGTGAGAAGATTGCTGAACCCAGGGGTTTGAGATCAGCCTGGGTAACTTGGCAAGACCTCATCTCTACAATAAATCAAAAAATTAGCCGGGCATGATGGTGCATGCTTATAGTCCCAGCTACTTGAAAGGCTGAGGTGGAAGGATCGCCTGAGCCCAGGAGATCGAGCCTGTGGTGGCCTGTTAGTGTGTCACTGCACTACAGCCTGGGTGACAGAGTGGGACACTGACTCAAAAAATAGGATGCTGTTACAAGGACCAAGTAAACTGCCTTAGTCTCAAATTGCACTAGGAACATGGATTAAAACAATGTTTTGATTGATGGCTAAACTCTGACCTTTTCTTTATCTTGCCAAATTCCTAATGAATGAGCCTGTGGAGACAGGCTTTTTAAAAAGTTAACTATTGAATGTTGGCTTACTTTCCAACCTGGTTCTGGTATAATATCATATAACTGATAAAGAAGGAAAATCAAAGCATTTTATGACCCTGTAAAAAATGTCTTTTGGGAACTCCAGGGACCTTTAAAGACACTTATCTGCTCTCGCAGGAGAATTTACCACCATGCATAAAGCTTCATCTACATATCAAGAACTGTAGTCCTCAGCTGGGTGCAGTGGCTCACACCTATAATCCCAGCACTTTGGGAGGCCAAGGCAGGAGAATAACTTGAACCCAGGAATTTGAGATCAGCCTGGGCAACATAGCAAGACCATGTCTCTACAAAAAAATAAAAATATTAGCGGGCATGGTGATGGTGTGCACCTGTAGTTCCAGCTATGTGGAATGCGTAGGCAGAAGGATCACCTGAGCCCAGGAGGTTGAGGCTGCAGTGAGCCATGATTGTGCCACTGCATGCCAATCTGGGTGACAGAGTGATACTTGACTCAGAAAAAAGAAAGAAAGAAAGAAATGTAGCTTCCTTATTCGTTCTCAAGCTGTTCAATCCTTTACTGACTTCAAAATTCCTAAGCTAACTCTAACTGACTAATTGTTACTCAGAAAATCTTTGACTCCACCTAAAACCTGTAGGTCCCCATCTGCCTTCCTGAACCAAACCAATGTAAATCTCACACGTATTGATTTGTGGTTTCTTGTAACTTCTGTCCTCCTAAATTGTATATAACCAAGCTACAGTTCAACCACAGCAGGCACACATTCCCAGGACTTCCAGGGAATAGAAGGCATGGACCTAGCTTACTATAAATAAGCCACCTTAAACCATCTTAGAATAAGTCATCTTCAATATTTTAGAGTTTGGCATCTTTCGTCCACAGGTTACGTTAATGTATCTGTTTGCAGTAGTTGGTTTTGCCTGTGACGTTGCCCATGAGCTTGGGGGCCCTAGAGTCCAGCGTGATTTTACCATTGACAAATGCATCTCAGGGGTCTTCCTATAGAAACTTGGCCCCTCCAAGAATGCCACTGCTGCCTCCCGGGGTCTCAGTGAGGATTCATGTGGGTCTGCTTTGTCCTTCGCTGGGTCTTGTGTGAGGCCCTCTGTTTACAAGCCACTAAGAAGATGTGTCCCTTCCATCCCTGCTGTCAGCGTCCCCTGTGAGAATGTGGCTACTAGGAGATGTTCAATTTTCCATGGATCTTAAAGACACTGATAATACCATCTCTTCCTCCTCAGAGAGCCAGAGCTAAACCATTTCCCCTCAGTGAGATACACAGGAAAATGCTCCACCAGTCTGAGCAACAAAGCGAGACCCTGGCTACAGGAAAAAAAAAAAAAAAAGAAATTACCCCCAACTGAGAATGGAGGCAGAAAATGCACCTGGGGTCCCAGCTACTTGAGAGGCTGAGGTGGGAGGATTGCTAGAGCCCAGAAGGCTGTGGTGAGCCATGATCACATTACTGCACTTCAGCCTAGGCGACATAGCGAGAGCTCAATTAAAAAATAATAACAATTAAAAATAAAAGGAGGAAAGTGCTCCAATCCCTCAATCCACTGCCAGGGGTTCTATTGTCTGAGTTATAAAATAGCATAGCCTGTGCCCCGCAATCCAGACCTTGGCTCTACAAAGTCCCTCATGATGCAAACATGTTTTTTGCTTTCCGACTGAAATCTTTTCTTCCTTCCTTCCTTCCCTTCCTCCCTTTCTTTCTTTTGAGCCAGGGTCTTATGCTGTTACCCAGGCTGGAGTGCAATGACACGATCATGTCTCACTATAGCCTTGATCTCCTGGGCTCAAGTGATCTTCTCACCTCAGCTTCCTAAATAGCTGGGATTACAGGCATGCACCACCATGCCCAGCTAGTTTTTCTATTTTTGTAGAGACAAGGTTTTACTTAGTTGCCCAGGCTGTTCTTGAACTCCAGGCCTCAAGCAATCCTCCTGCCTCAGCTGCCCAAAGTGCTGGGATTACAGGTGGTGAGCCACCATGCCCAGCTGGAATCCTGCTTTCTACAGGGAATTGGGTGTAGTAAGTGCCTGGGTCTAAGTCTGGGAGCCCGGTACTTTCCTCTCTCCCAGTTCTTTCTTCCCATCATTCAAGTCAAGTCCTTGTAGATCTCAAAGGCAGAGCTGTCCTGGAGAACTTCCTGTGGTGATGAAGACAGTTTTTATCCACACTGTCCAAAATGGCAGCCACCACCAAGTACTTGACAAGTGGCTAGCATGACTGAATAACTGAGTTTTAACACTCATTTAGGCGGGGGGCAGTGGCTCATACCTGTGATCCCAGCACTTTGGGAGGCTGAGGCAGGAGGATTACCTGTGGCAAAGGGTTCAAGATCAGCCTGGGTAGCATGGTGAGATCTTCTCCCTACAAAAAATATTAAAAATTAACTGGGCATGGTGATGCCCACCTGTAGTCCCAACTACTTGGGGGCACAATGGCCTAGGAGGTCAAGGCTGCGGTGAGCTGTGATTGTGCCACTGCACTCCAGCCTGGACAACAGAACAAGACCCTGTCTCAAAAAAGAAAGCACTTATTTAAATGTAAATAATTTAAACTTAAATCTCTGCATGTGGCTTATCTCCAGCCATTTTATTTCGACAGTGTTCTCCACTGACGTTTTCCCACTCACACATCACTCAGCTGCCCCTCATACCAACACACATCTTCCTTCTGTGGCAAACCAGCCTGGATCCTGGCCCCTGCCAGTATGTTCCAGAGCTGATACCTGGGTAAATCTTCAGCCTTGCTGACCGCTTTTTTTCTGTTTCCCTTTTTAGAAACCTAAAGGCCGCCCTACATTTGCTGAGCTCTTGCAGACTCTCACGGAGATTGCAGAAACCTGGTGACCTGAAATGCCATGACAACCCAGAGGGGCATCTTGCACGACTACCAGAAAAGAAGAAGCCGTGTGGGTCACAGATGGTCAGCATCCTCCTTCCAAGTCGCTGACTCTCAAAAACTGTGTGAAGGTCACAGGCTGATTAGATGTCTTTAAATTGAAGAACATTCTGATGATAGTTTTTCTACACATGTGAGAGGGACTTTCAGACTCTTATTTTTCTGTAATATACAGAGGGTGCCAAACAATGTATATGCATTTTAAGAAAGGAAAAAACTATATTAAAGTTGCAATACTTGAGCTGGGTGCAGTTAATCATGCCTACAATCCCAGCACTTTGGGAGGCAGAGGTGAGAGGATTGCCTGAGCCCAAGGGTTTGAGACCAGCCTGGGCAACTTGGTCAGACCTCAGCTCTACAATAAATAAAAAAATTAGTGTGGTGATGTACGCCTGTAGTTCCAGCTACTTGGAAGGCTGAGGGGGAAGAATCACCTGAGTCCAGCAGATTGAGGCTGTGGTGGCTGTGAGTATGCCACTGCACTGCAGCCTGGGCGACACAGTGAGACTCCTACTTAAAAAAAAAAATGCAATACTCAGTAAGATGAATATAAGTCATGTTTGAGTTCTGCAATTACAAGAGGTGCTCAAAGTTTTTACCATCAGGGTCCAGACACTTCTGATGACAGCAAACATCTCTTAACATCGCTTAAAATGTGTATATATGTTTTTGTTCCCCTCTCCCCGGTATTTCACATTCCACATGAAGAAGGAAAAGGTTTCATAGCTTTCCTAGAGGCTGCCCTTCACAACAAAGCCCCAGGAACCCTGGAGGGTACATGAAAACTTGATCCTTCACAAGATGGAGGGAGATACTTTCTTGAAGAGAAGTGGTGTTCACCACTTGAGCGTTCATGCACAGAAGATTAAATTCTGCCGACCCATGGAATGAAGGAGCCTCCCTGCAGAATTCCATGCTTTTGATCCACAGAGATATTTGTAGAAAATGCATCTTTACAAACCCCAAGAGTGTGAGCATTCTGGAAATGTCTCTTATCAGCTCCCTGTGTGTTATTTATCAAGTTGTTTTCACAACTATCTCCTGATTTTGGAGGCAGTCTCTTGCATTCTAGTTTTAAACATTGTTACAGGACTTAACCAGTGTTCCTCTTTGAACAGCTCCTAGTGACATTCTCTTCCTAGGAAAAATCAGAACCAGATTTCAGTTCTGAGATTTTACACTATGTATATGTGAGGTTGGACACTTCCAGAGACTTTATTGTGTCATAGTAAGTGCCTTCATACTTTCAGGAAGATGACTCTTTCTTTCCAAAAGAGGAGACAAAACCAAAATATCCAAATGTAACATCAAGCTCTGTATTGCTAAAGTCCAAGATTTTGAATTCAAGATGAAACAAGCAGCAGTCATAGCTAAATTTTAATTTCGCATATGCTGTTTGAAGGGATGATTGGAAGTTGATCTCTATTATTCTGAATGCCCAGGAGCACTAAAGAAAAAGTCAGGCACAGTGGCTCGTGCCTGTAATTTCAGCACTTTGGAAGACCAAGGCAGGAGGATTGTTTGAGCCCAGGAGTTTGAGATCAGCTGAGGCAGAATGATCGCCTGAGTCCAGGAGGGCAAGGTTGCAGTGACCCAGGATGGCACCACTGCACTCAGCCTGAGTGACAGAGTGGCCCTGTTTAAAAAAAAAAAAAAATTAATGACACTCAGTAAATGTGCATTATTTCTGATGAGAATTGGGTACAAGAAGATACTTGGTAATTCGAGTCGTAGTCTTAGAAATATTTGCATGAGGCTGGGCTCAGTGTCTCAGCCTGCAATCCCAGCAATTTGGGAGGCCGAGGCGAGTGGATTGCCTGAGTCTGAAGGTTCAAGATTAGCCTGGGCAACTTGGTGAGACCTTGTCTCTATGATAAATAAATTAAAAAAAAACTTAGCTGGGTGTGGTAGTGTGTGCCTGTAGTTCTAGCTACTTGGAAGACTGAGACAGAAGGATCACTGGAGTCTAGCAGGTTGACGCTAGGGTGGCTGTGAGCATGCCACTGCACTCTAGAAAAGAAAAGAAATATTTGCATGAAAGACTGTGCTGTTTCTGAGATGATCACATTCCTTTTCCTAGGACTCAGGTCTTGGTGAGGAGAGACAGAAAGTTCCTTCTTCTGAGACCTTATGTTACATAAAACATGTGCAGTCTAGCTCAAGCGGGCATGAGACCACCAAACAGCAAAAACTGAGGGAAGAAATACTGCAGCGTCAGTAGATGCAGGAAGGTGACTTTCCCAGGTGTTACTAAGCCTGGAACTCCCCTTTTCTCCCTGTCCCCCCAAATAAACTCAGCAAAGCCAAATGCTGAAAAACCAGGACTGATGACAGAACATTTGTCATCATTATAGATGTACAGAGTCAGGGGCAGAGAGTGACACCCAGAAGCAAATCATTCTTTTTTTCTTTTGAGTCAGAGTCTCGCTCTGCCACCCAGGTTGGAGATCAGTGGCACACGCGCAGCCAACACAGCCTTGCCCTGCTGTGCTCAGGCTATTCTTCTGCCTCAGCCTTCCAAGTAGCTGGAACCACAGACATGCACCCCTACACCTGGCTAATATTTTAAAAAAATTATTGTGGAGACAAGGTCTCGCCAAATTGCCCAGGCTGGTCTTGAACCTGTGGGCTCAGGCAGTCTGCAATCCTCTCACCTCTGCCTCCCAAAGTGCAAGGATTACAGGCATGAACCACTGCGCCCAGTTGGGGCAATTCATTCTTAGGGTCACACCTGGGACGGTGCTGGCACTTTTTTTTTGTTTTTGTGTTGGAGTCTCATTCTGTCGCCTAGGCTGGAGTGCAGTGGCACGTGCTCACGGCCACCCCAGCATCGACCTGTTGGGCTCCAGCCATCCTTCCGTCTCAGCCTTCCTAGTAACCAGAACTACAGACACATGCTACCACACCCGGCTATTTTTTATTTTATTGTAGACATGAGGTCTTGCCAAGTTGCCTGGGTTGGTCTCAAACCTGCGGGCTCAGGCAATCCACTAGTCTCGGCCTCGCAAAGTGCTGGGATTACAGGCTGAGCCACTGGCACTTTTAAGGGCATTACATGGGTGATGGCAGGCAAGCTCTAGCTCTTTGTTTCAACGCTTCAGGGAAATCTGAGATACCAAATTAGGAGCAAGAATACCTGGAGCTGTGTCCTATGAAACTAAAATCCAGAGAAGTTGTGAATTTTGAATGTGCATGGAAAGCGATTTACCCTTCTCTGTCTACCTAAAGAAAAAAGTTACTTTAAGAGGTGGACACAAGGCTGTGTGCAGTGTCATGCCTATAATCCCAGCACTTTGGGAAGGCCAAGTCAGGAGAACTGTTTGAGCCCCGGAGTTTGAGACCAGCCCGGGCAACATTTTCGTCTCAACAAAAAGTAAAAAAGTTAGCTGGATGTGGTGGCAGTACTCTAGTCAGCTTGGCTTCATGGAAGGATCTGGAACAGGATACAGAGCATGCACGGCCTTTGATCCCCATGAAAGCCACCAACTCTCCACATGTATAGATGCTCGGGCCTCTCCTTGCCTGCCTACAGAATGTGTGTGGTGACCGTAGACGAGGCCACGGCGTGTGGGGCTTTCCTGGATATGAGAAGCTTCTCCCTGTCTCCCACCAGCCACGCAGGCCAATGGTCCATGGGGCTCCCAGCCCTGTGCTGTCCCACAGAGTGTAAGTTTCACAGAGTGCAAAGTGGGTATCTGGCCTTGGCATGCAGCCTTCCAAATGTATCTTAACTTGGGCCATTTCTTTCTTTCTTTCTTTTTTTTTTTGAGATGGAGTCTCACTCTGTTGCCCAGGCTAGTATGCAGTAGCACACTCACGGCCACCCCAGTGTTAAGCTGCTGGGCTCTGGCAATTCTTCCACCTCAGCCTTCCAGATAACTGGAACTACAGGCATGCTACCATGCCTGGTTAATTTTTTTTATTTATTGTAGAGATGAGGTTTCGCCAAGTTGCTCAGGCTGGTCTCAAACCCGTGGGCTCAGGCAATCCACTTGCCTCAGCCTCCCAAAATGCTGGGATTACAGGTTGAGCCACCAAGCCTGGCCAGACTTGGGCCATTTCTAAGGATCTGGTGCCAGGACATGGCAAGCCTAAAATCTTCCCAGGCAGGCAAAACACTGTCAGAAAAAGGCACACACCTGCTGGTAACTCTTTGTGCACACCAACACATAAAGAAAAGTAATCAGGCTCAGTGGTTCATGCCTGTAACTTAAGCACTTTGGGAGACTGAAGCAGGAGGATGACTTGAGCCCAGGAATTTGAGACTGGCTTGGGTAACATAGTGAGAACTTGTTTTACAAAAAGTTAAAAAAAAAATTAGCTGAGTGTGGTGTCACATACCTGTAGTCTCAGCTACTTGGAAGGCTGAGGTGGGAGGATTGCCTGAACCCACGAGGTCAAGTCTGAGGTGAGCTGTGATTGTGCCACTGTACTCTAGCCTGGGCAATGGAGTGAGACCCCAACTAAAAACAAAAACACAAAACTGTGAGTATATAGCTTTGTTAATATTCACAAAGTGAAGAAATTTCTGTAACCAGACTTATATCAAGACATAGCACATTCCAGAGTTCTAGAAGTCATTCTCATTCCCCATTCCAGTCACCACCCCAAGAGTAATGACTATCAGGATTTACAACACCATGGATTAGTATGAGCTGCCTTCAAGCTTTCTTTTAATTGAACCTTAAGACATGTGTTCTTTTGTGCTTGACTTCTTTCACTCAATGGTGTGCTTGTGTGTTCCATCTGTGTTATATGTAGTTGTAGCTCATTTATCACTATTTCTTCACTGCCTACATTGTGTAATTAATCCACTCATTATTTACCTGTTCTACTTTTGATGACTATGTGAGTTGTTTCCAGTTTTTCACTATTGAGATCAGTGATGCTATGAATATTTTTCTATATGTCTTTTGGTGAACATATGTATGCATTTATATTGGACAGA